CTTAAAGATGTGTAGCTGCAGCGGTACATGTGAGGAGTCCTCTTGAAGGATGTTCTGAGGATAGTTTTTTTTTTTTTTTAAAAATATTGTTTCTTTGTTGGTCTTCTTTTGTTTTAGTCGTTGGAAGTTGCCTCTTTCCTTTTTTCTGAAGATTAGTTGTTTTCTCTAACTTATTTTGTTCTCTAAGTTATGTCTTAAATTTATAAAAGTTAGATTTGTTTCTCTTTATTGTTCTCTTTTGTGCTTTGCTTTAATTTGTTTACATCATTTTTTATGTTGAATTGCAGATAGGCCTAATACAAAACCCATGTTTATATTCTCCAATATGTTGTTGGGCACGAACAAAGGTGTGTAAAGGCCAGTGTTATGAGAATGACCCTTGTTGGACTAGCAATCACTGTAATGTTACATAAATTTGGTAATGTCACCCCACATGAGTGGACAAAAGGATCAACCTTGACAGCAGCTAAGCTTTTGTCTCTACCACCATAAGCAACCAATCTTCCTATATTCCAGCCACGATTGACAATTTCAAGGAGGAAAATTCTTGGGAGACAAAGTTAATTACATTTGAATGAAAAGTCTTGTTGAATGGTATAATCACTGACATCGACATCGGCTTCATGTGCGACATATATCCTCATCACTTACATATTGATCATTGGAACCATTAAAGCTCAAAAGTTCGGCTTGTAGTATGGTAAAAGAAGTGGCATTAAAACTTAACACATTAGTGCCTTTAGTCAGATGAGTGAAACAGAGCTTGAAGAGAAAGGTAAACTTTTGCAAGAAAAGAATCTAGAATGCATGCATCAAGACAATTGTTTTCTTTTTTGCAAATTAATATACTTGAGCGCTAGTTGGTGATTGTGGAGCACAAAGTCTTGATTAAATGAGATAATGTTCCTAGTTTTTTAATGGCCAGATGACAACGTATAATTCTGGCTCATGAGTCATCCATTTTATAGGGTTCATTTAGCTTTTTACTAAAATATTCAAGCAATATACCTTCTTGAATAAGGACTACATCGATTATAGTCATATAAGCATTCACTTCTACTTCAAATATACGATAGAAATTGGGTAGTGTTAAGACGGAAGCCAATTTGAATTTTTTTTCTTTCAAGAAATTGAAACTTGTACTTTGTTAAGTCCGCAACTAAACTTCCTTTTTTTAAACAATTTGTAATTGGTGCAACAAGAATACTAAGATTGCACATAAATCAAACGTGAAAAAATTGTTATGTCGTTGGAACTTCAATCTCATGAATATTTGTTAGGATTGACCATTCAACAATCTACTCAAATACCTTGCTTCCAATGATGAACCCCATAAATAAGACTTGGGGAGAGAAGACAACACATCTTGAAATTCAAAACTAACGTGTTCTGCTCCAAGGCTACCAAAACTTGTTGCAAATGGGTAAAATGCTCATCCTTCGGTTTGATATATCACAATATATTGTCGAGGTATGCAACAACACGAATGTTCAATAAATTGTTTTAGCATTACTAACATAAGCCGCATGAAGGTTCTTGGAGCATTACAAAAGTCCAATTGGCATCACCCACCACTCAAAGAGTCTGTCTCTAATTTTGAAGGCAATTTTCCACTCATCTGCTCGTTAAATGTGGACTTGTGGTAGCCACTTCAAAGTAAGTTTGAAGAAGATGGTAAAATCTTCTAATTTATCAAGTATTCTAATCATAGAATTGGGATCCATACCTCATTGTAATCTTGTTATTTACAGGTTGTTCACACATTCGCGAACTACCATGTTTTTCAAGTACCAAAAAGTGCACGAATAGCGCAGAGTCTTAGACCTACTCGAATCAATTGTTTGGCCAACAGGTTGTTAACAATATCTTTTAAAGCCTCATATTCTTTAGGGCTCATACAATAATGGGGATAGTTAGGCAAATTTGACCTTGAAATAAATTTTGTATGGTGTTTGACACTATGAAGTGGCAAAAGTTCACAAAGACCATCAACAGACTGAATGGTGGAGAATTTTTTCGAAAATTCCACAATTTTAGAAGGAAAAGCACACTTATCATTAGAAGCAAAAACATCAACTACTAAGAGAAGGACTACATTGCTCTATTTCAATTCCACATAAAATTCAGTACCTAAAACTATGAGAAGCGATGGAATCGCAAGCATGTCTTAATATTGGTTGGTAGCAGCGTAATTTTCTTATCCTTCCATTGAAAAAAATAATGGTTTTTCACCCCATTGGCATGCATCCACACCATACCACTAGGGTAGATCGCAGAGGATGCAGCATGCATTCATGCCAACATCACAAAAAATTTCATCTTGATAAAACTTTTCAATTGAAAATAGAAAACGACAAACATTGTTAACCTTTGCTTTGCTACCTCTTTTAATCAGCCTTATTCGATAGGAATGAGAGTGAGTCTCAGTTTAGAGATGATGTGCATTGGAAAGAGCTTTCGACATCAATCATCACAGCTTCCACTATTAATTATCACGTCACAAATTTTCTTATTAATGGTTCGAGAAAGAAAATGTCGTTGGGTTGAACCAACGTGTTTGGTTAAGAGTAACATTTCAATACTACAAGCAATAGGTTCTCCCATATCCCTTTCGACAAATTCAACTTATATATTAATTTTTTCATCTTCGAACCCTTGTTTTCCTTTGTCACCCTCGTCGCTTTGTATATGTTAGGGGTGTAAGTTAAGGATTAAACGAGCCAGGCTTGATAAGGCAAATACTATACTCGACTCGACTCGTTTACACCCCTAGTATATGCAGGCATTTCATTGAATGGGTGTCCAAGTTTTTTTGCAACAATAACATCGAATAGTTGAAGGTCATGCATAAGTTTTCGCCATGGTAGGATGTGCAAGTGATTTGCCTAAAGGCTTGGAAGTATTAAATACCTAACCTGTAGTGGAAGGGCCTGGCAAAGTAGAGCTCGATACTAATTGGCCTTGAAGGGGGATGCATTTATCTCTTAGGGGTTGTCATTGTGGGGCTTTCAAGAGTAAGAAAATCGACTAGGATGTTGAGACCATACACTTTCAACTTTGTAGACTAGATTTACAACTTTTGAGAGCTGCCAAATGATCTATTAAGATAATTGGTCGCAATGTGTCTTTTAATCCACTCAAGTCACGTGACACTGAGTGTCATTATGATTTATGAAGGTCCGCCAGAGCATTCAAGTGATAAAATGTTTTAGTGCACTTGTTGACCAACATCCTCATTATTGGAATCACTGGTATTGATAGCAGAGAACTTGATCATAATCAAAGCGTACATATCATTCCCTAAGAACTTTTTGCATTGGTATCCAAGAACGAATGTGAAACTTGCCAATACTTTTTTTTTAGGTTTGTAACTACCCCCATCATGTATCAACTCCACCTCTGAGTTATAAGCTAAGAGTTTCACCGATTTTTCCTTTGGTATTTCCATATAATCAAAAATTGTTTCAACAAACTTAAGATAATCAAGGCAATCCCCAACATACATAAGCTCATTGAAATAGGGAAAAACAAACTGGAATTTATAACCTTGTAGGTAGTGGCGATGGGGTTTCACTTGACAAGAGTATCTCGGTTCATTGTTTGAACACACTTCAGCTTCCTCATCTGTGTCAAATTATGGTACTTCATACAAAAAAATGGTGAGAAGATTAATCGAGCTCAAAGGTTACTATATCGTCAAATCTACCTTCACATTGTGACCTCTGTTGAGTGTGGTTCTTGTGCATAGTCATTTGTTGGCCTACTAAAGTTAGAAATCACAAGTCTCACTCAAGAAAAGGATGCTCTTAAATTGTTTGTGTCGTGATATTTTCATTATTTACTAATGCAAGAATCTTCTGCACATCTAGAGGAAAAAGTAGAAAAAATAAATAAATAAAAAATGATTGTCAACATGTCGTTCTAACATATCAATAGATGCATGAAGGGCCTACACCGCAAGATCTTCATCTATGTTGGGACCTCCATCACTCTTACCCCTCTCAGGTGCACTGAGCTCTCATACTACTTAATGTAGAAAAACACAAAGGAAATAGACAAGTGAAGACAATTAAAGAAGAAGAGTTTTCAACAAAGAAACACTGTTCAAAACTCACAAAACAATTTTCTTCTCCAGCTATCTCCGTACTATACCACTATTCCAAATACATATAACGTCCTCTACCAAAGAATAAAGCGCATAACTGAAAATAGTAGGTTGGCACCAAAGCAAATAAAAGAAAGGCAAAAATGTATAAGTAAGCTCACAGACCGTCTGCCATAGCAGAACCCATAAACTTAGCTAATTGTTCACGACTTAAGTAAATATGTGAGGTAAATTTCTAACTTTCCATTACAAATACCAAGGATACATCCATTAATTACAATTTCTAGTCTATTTCTAGGGGCTACTTGGTAGTCGTACTTAAACAGGATTTACACAGGGTTTATCATAAATCCTGCCAAACAATCAAAAGTGCCAAAACAAATGCTGCATATTTTTAAATCACGTTTTGCCTCCCTGTTGCTAAATCTCATATTTACTAAATTCGATAATTTGACAGATTTACAAGATTTAGATGAGCATCTAAGTGGGAAAGAAGCATGCGAAAGAGGGAGGGAAAGACGAGGGTCACCAGCGAGCTACCATCATGACTTCCTCATTTATTTTCATCGACAGTAGTGGCGAAAGAGACAAGGTCTGTCACTGCTTCCTCATTGCTCTTTCAACGAACATTTCAAGATAATTTTAATAAATCCAGATTTCAAGATTTATTAAATCCGAGTTTACTGAATTTACTAAATCTTAACAACATTTCTTAGGATTTAACTGACTCGAGATTTACTAAACCCGGATTTGAGAGATTTAATAAATCTGACTTGAGTCAAATCCTCCTTGCAGTGAAACAGACCCCCCTACAACTTAATACCAGTTTGCCAGAATTTAGTATGACTGAGCGAATGAAAACAGCGAAGAGCATAAACCATGTCAGAAATTCAACCTATTAAGGACACCAAGTGACGGTTTTGAAAGAACAGCATCCAAGATTTCCATTGCTGCGGAAGATAAAAACACGCAGACGAAAAGTCACTAACCGAGAGAAGAAAAAAGGACAAAGAAGGGTACACAGAACGTGGAATCGAGGACTGAAACCTTGAGGACAATCAGCAGCAGTATCACTGGAGGTTTCCATGGCCGTGGAGCCCTTCAGCTTCTTCTTGTTCCTGTTCTTGGCCATCGCGAGGGTTTCTGAGTCTACACGCCGATTCACGTAAAAGTGGCCGGAGATGGCATCCATTATATAGCCAGAGCCTCTCGGCTAACATAATTGTATACTTAATTATAAGATTTTTTTTTTAAAGATATTTAATTAAATTAAATTTACTCATATGTCTTATAATTATAATTAAAATTTAAAATTAATTTAATTAGACTTGCTCTCTCTCTCTATATATAATTATGCCTTTTTATGTAGTTTTGATTCTTAATTCCAATGTTTTGAATTTCTATATAGATCTATAATCTATTCATGCATTAAAAAATAATTTCGCTAAGAAAATGGCATATGAAAATAGGATTTAATTAATGGGTTATGGGCGGAGTAATTTAATGACAAACTTCATTGTACAACTATGATGCTTTCACTTATCAGCCTTTTTATAATCCTTTGCACTAGGATTCTAGGAATGTTGTCTTCAGATATGTTAATTTCTTATTAATATTCTTATTCTGAGTCATTTTATTTGTTTTTTTAGCTTATTTTAGATCTTAATGATTTTGGTAATGTCATTTTTTTATCCTACTTTAAAAAACAATTGTCTATTATTATACTTACATTTTGTTACCAAACTATGAAATTTTTTGACATATCAATGAAATCTAGGTGTGGACCCTCAAATTTCTTGAAAAGGATAAACTCAATAATGAAATAAATGCATGAATCAGTATGTAATGCACAATTGATGATAGAATTTCACATATTATATTTTAGAATTTGCATGTAGCACTCTAGAATTGATTTTTTTAAACTAATATCCAAATAAACAACTAAAATTTTAAAGAGAGCAACAAAAATATAAATTTTCATTCTCAATATTTTGTTAAATTTTTTGAGATATGGTAATATAAGTTTTAAGTATATGTTAACTCTTAAAATTTTTTATCGTATATGGTATAATAACCTAATTTATAAGTTTTTTTGTTCAACTTTATTTTTTATCGTGCACAGTTTCATAAATTGACACTTTTTAAATGTTATATGTAATATTTCCTCTGTTTTTCTAAAAAGTTAGAAAAGGAGAGTATTATACACAACCGTATATGTATGCATTTTTGTAGATAATGAAGAGATTGTGCATGCATGAAAGAAAGAGAGAGACTATAATTACTCTTTGGGAAATTTGAGGTGAAATGGTGAAGAGTGAGATGCATAATGATTGGATATGGGGAGTGGTTAGTTGAATCCCTATTTAAGTTATGTGAAGATTGTATTTGATTTAAAGCTCTTCACTATTTTTCCATGGTTAAAGATCAAGGGAAGAGGCCCTAACCTAAATGCCTATATTTTTTTAAGTATATGTTAACTCTTTAGATGAAAATAGAAAATAAGAATATGATTTTTTTTTTTCGTGTATGCTCCTGGCGAAGTCTCTGTGCTGGGCTAGGGCTTTGCCCTATCCGTTCTCTGCCGGCGGTGCTCTTCTTCCTCCGCGTGCCAAGGGAAGTTCGTTCTTCCTTTTCGTTTTCCTTATTTTTTTGTCGGAATGGCAGTGTGTTGTTCTTCCGATCTTGGTTTTCTCGATGGTTCGCCTAGGTCCCGCTCGTTTTTTGAAGCTTTAGCGGGATCTTCTCCTAGTAGATTTCCTGAGCTTATTCGGTTTTCTTTCCGTGGAGCTCCTGCTCTTTTGATGTCAGAAGAGGAGTTTTTTGCTCTTATCAAACCTTCTAGGTTTGTTGGCTTCTTCTCTTCGCGGCGGCCTCCGCTCGCGTCGATACGAAAAAAAAAATTCAATCTTTGTTTAAATGGAGCTTTCTCTGTGACTGTGTCGGATTCATCTCATGTTCTCATTAAGCTGGGGAATTATCTTGACTATAATAGGGTGTTTTGTCATATGTATTATCTGGTTTTCAATTGCTTCATGAAGTTGTTTAAATGGTCTCCTTTCAGTGACATTGGGGATGAGTCTCCCATTGTCCCGATCTAGATCTCTTTCCCTAATTTGCGTCCCCATTTTTTCTCTCCTTGTATCCTGCATGGATTAGGGCTTCTCTTTGGCAATCCGTTGAAGGTGGATACTGCCACTGCTTTGGGGTCTCGCCCTTCGGTTGCCCGTGTGCTGGTGGAAATTAATATCACAAAGAAATTTTTTGACAAGATTTGGATTGGTCCAGAAAAACTTGGGTATTTCCAGCAAGTTTCTATGGAGGATTTTCCTCTCTTTTGCCCCAAATATAAGCATCTTGGTCATTCGTTTGGTGGCTGTCGACCTACTCTTGATGATAGTTTGCCTGCTGCTCCTTCATCTAAACTGAATTTTCAGGTTGTTGATGATATTGTCATTCCTGTTGGCATGGAGAATGTTGGGGATGTTCGGGGTCAGGCTCTTGTCCTTCCTAGTCATACTATTATTGATTCGTCTTATTTTTTTATCGCCTGTGTGTCAGGATTTTTATGTAGTTGTGTCTCCTGTTGTTTTACGTAGGGGTGTCAATTTTAGGTCATGGGTTGGGTTCGGGTCGAACCTGGAACTGACCTGGGTTCAAACGGGTTGACCCTAACCCGACCCGGTTAGGCAAACGGGTCGAAAATCCGAACCCGAACCCGACCCGGCGGGTTGTCGGGTTGACCCAACACGGAACCGATCGGCAGCGCGGGCGTAGAGTGGCATCGCGGAGCGGTAGCAGCGCGCGCATTGCGCGAGCGAGGGCGGAGCGCCGGCATCGCGGGAGCGCAGGCGGAGCGGTCGCTGCGCAGACGCGACCGCGCGAGAGCGGCAGCGCGGGCGTAGCGCGGCATCGCGGGAGCTCGGGATGGCTCGGACTACATTTTTAGGGTCAAACAGGTTGACCCGGCAACCCGTCGGGTCAACCCGAACCCGACCAGTTTTTCAAACGGGTCGATTTCTGGAACCCGAACCCGACTCGTTTTGCATTCGGGTCGGGTCCAACCCGGATTTTTCGGGTCGGGTCCGGGTCGGGTTTTCGTGTCGTGTCAAATATTGACACCCCTAGTTTTACGCGTTATTGGTGATGTTGGGGTTGAGTTAATTTCGTCTTGCCAATTTCAGTCGCCAGTTGTCCTTATTTCTGTAGCTGCGATTGTTTCAAATGGCTCCCCTACTGTAGTGGTGGAGCATGTTCCAATGTTGGACTCCCCTATCCATGTTATTAATGATTGAGCTGTGGGTGTGCCTTCTTTTGTGCATGGGTCTTGTCATGCTCTCTCCCTGGCAGTCCCTGCACCTGCTAAGACTGTTTCTCCCATTATGGCTCCTGGCCTTATGCATGTATTTGATATTATATGTTATTTTAATATTATTGATAGTCCGATTGTTAGTAATGGTGCGGAACTGTTTGTTAATAATTCAATTACTTTTATTGATAGTGGTGAGGAAACCTTGGCTGCAGATGGGGAAGAATGTATTTGTGGTGCCTCTAGTGGATGTTCCAATTTCTATCATTTCAAATGTTAATTTGTTAGCACGTGTTGCTAGAGATGTTAGGTGAAAGTGTCCTAACATCTCCCCTCAAATTAATTATTCTGGGAACGAATGGTTAATTTGGACCTTAATGTATGAAACCGGTTGATATGAAGAGCTTTTGTAAGTATATATGCGATTTGATCCGTTGAGTATATGCGAGCAATTTTAAAGTTGCCCTGTTGAATGTGTCCACTGATGAAGTGATAGTTGATTTCGATATGTTTAGTCATTGCATGGAATACGAGCTTGTTGGTGAGCGCTATAGCGAAAGTGTTGTCACAGTGAATTGTTGTAGGAGAGTTTGAGGCTTAGTGCTTTGAAGTATGGTAGATGAGGGAACAAGTAGAAGAGGAGAGCATGGTGCAGGTGGAGTGTCTGAGGGCAGATTATATCTTGTGCTAGAATAAGGAAAAATACACTATTAGAAGAGCACATGCCGCGATATGTATATGCGATTTTGTTGTAAGTTGAGCTAGCGATATCCCCTGTGCTGATTGGAGTATCCGAGAAAGACGCATTCCTGCGAGCGGGGAGACAATTTGGTTAGCGCGTAAGGTTTTGTCCAAGGAAAGCATAAAGCAGCCAAAAGTGTGAAGGTGATTATAAGATGTGTGAAGACCATGTCATAAAAAATATGGAGTTTGATTTAAGATGACTGAGGATGGAAGGTGGTTTATGAGGTAATTGGCTGTTAAAGTTGCTTCGGCCCATAAGGAGTTAGGTAGATGAGTTGCGTGAAGAAGAGTGCGAGTGAGATCAAGGAGGTGTCGGCGCTTCCGTTCAGCAGTGCCATTTTGTTATGGCATATGCGGACAGTTGATTTGGTGAGTTATATCTTGCTGAATTAGGTAATTACGAAAAACGATGCTGGTAAGATCGCCGCCGCCGTCAGATCGAAATGTCTGAATTTTGGCATTAAATTTATTGTTAATGAGATTACAAAATTGTTGAAATTTACTAAACACTTCGTCTTTGGATTTAAGTAAATACAACCACATAAAGCGAGTAAAATCGTCGATGAATATCACGTAATAACAAAAGCCGTTTATAGAAATTAAGGGAGCAGGACCCCATACGACCGAATAGACGAGCTGAAAGGGTTTATTACAGACCGACTCACTAATAGGGAAAGGTTGTTTATGACTCTTATAAACATTGTAGGAGATACAAACATCACTAGAGAGGCAGGGAGTAATAGCAGGAATTTGTTTTGCCAATTTTTAAAGAGTGCGGTAGTTTGGGTGGCCGAGACGTGCATGCCAGGGAAGTGTTGAGGATCTGACCGTCGCTAGAGCGGTGTTCTTATGATTTGTAGGAACCTTGATGTGGTACAACCCATTGCATTTGGGACCGCGGAGAAGCAGCTGATTGTCTTGAAGATCTTTTATAGTAAAATCCTTAGTATTGAAAGAAATTGAAACATTGTTATCTGAAGTTAATCTATAGACAGATAGAAGATTATGCGAGAGGGAGGGAACATGTAGAATGTTTCGAAGACAAAGTTTACGGTGAGACTCAGGTAGAGGCAGTAGGCCTTGACCCGAGTTCTGGATCTGTAAAGTGTTGCCGTTCGCAATGGAGACCAAATCGAAGCCATTGTACGGTGTCAAATGTTGGAGATTCGTTGCATCGGAGGTTAGGTGTGATGAGGTGCCGGAGTCCAAGATCCAGTCATTGGTGATGGCATTTTGTTGTTGAACCGTGAGGGCTCTTGGATTGGATGGAGGCACATAGCTTAGGTTGCATTGATGCCAACAGTTCAATGATGTATGTCCCGTTTTTCCCATATCTATCATGTTGGTCTAGGTGAGGAGGTTCTTGCGGAATTTTGAGAATCCGCAGGAAGTTGTTGTCGTTGCGTTGAGCCACAGCCGAGAAACTTGTTTGTTCTGCTGCGATAATTGTTGGACCGATTGGAGAAGATAGCCACTGCCTCCGATTGCTGACTTTCTAGGGGATGTTGATGATGAATGTTTATTTATTCACTGCTGAGTAAGGAGTAAAGGTCGTCGAGACTTATCGGTTGACTTATAAATCCAAATTTAGTACATCATGGTAAAGTTAAATCAAGAAATTGTTTGGCAAGATAACTTTTAAATATTGTGAAATTGTTTTGAAACATAATCCAAGATTCAAGACAATAGGTCATTAAAAACTCAAATTTGATTTATATATTAAAGTTAATTTTTATTTTAAATATATTTTTTTTTTATTAATTTCAATTTTAAGCAGCATCAATAAGCTTGAATTATAAATATTACAATTAAAAAATTAGCTTAATTTTCAAATAACTTAATAGTGATTTAATTATTAATTACAATACTAATTATCTATATATTTATTTGAATGTTTTTTAATAAATATTTAATTACTAATTACAATATTAATTATATAATTAATTATTATTTGAAATAACAAATTAGTTAATTATTATTTATATTACTAGTTATTTAAGTATTATTTTAATAAGTTTTAATTATTAAGTTTATGATTAATTATTCAATTACTAATTAATTATTTTTTATATTTATATTAATAATATAATTAATAATTTATATTAATTAAATTAGTTAGATTAATTTCGAACACGTTGTGCTTCTCTGCCCAACTATTTTTGCGGTTTGTTTTCAACTTCTCGCGGGCTTTGTGTGAGGTAGGGTTTTGAACAAGTCGCTAATTATTCGCCTCCTCCTTCGACGATGTTCCTTCATGTCGAATCATAAGTCGCAACAGTTCACTAGAAGTGAGGACGGGAGCACTGTGAAGGCAACTATCTTTCTCCTTTCGTGCGCTTCTTCAACCATATCCTATAATTTTGCGAAACTTTAATAAATCCGGGATTTACGACGAAGAGGGGAACAAAGGATTTATTTCACCATGAGATTTAACTTTTCCTCATATCGCTTGGGATTTAGGGGCTGTTTGGCAGTAAAGTCTAAGCTTGTTAAATCCTGAAAACTGATTGGTTTTATAAATATTAAATATTGTGAAATCCTGAGAAGCTGCGGTAACATAATTTATGATTTATAATTCTTAGGAATTTAAATATGAAGAAATAACTATAAGTTTAAATGTAAATTTATAATTAAAAAATTATGAATTTAATAATATGTTAAGTACAAATTACTCATTAATTATTATTTACATCATTACTTATATATTTAATAATATATATTTTAAATTATATTAATATTTAATTACTAATTATTCAGTTAAGTTAAATAAAAAAAATAATTTATGCACTACTTATACTATTAATTATTTAATTAATTTACTTATTTATTAATATTTTAAAATATATTAATTAAGTCAATCAATAATAACTTAGAGGCGTCTAGGGTTTAGGGTTTGGCTTTCATTCTCTTTTCGTCGTTGCTGTTCGGCTTCGTTGCTTCGCAGGAGTTGTAGAGATTGCACGCGTCGCTTCTTCGGCTCCTTCGTGGCCGTTCAACTTTGCTCCTTCGCCGACTTTCCCTTCCTGTCGGATCGGAAGTTACGACATTTTGATCGGAAGCAACAACGGGAGCTCGCTGACTGTGAAGGTAACTTTCTACCTTTCGCGCGCTTCTTCGGACAAATCCCATAAATCCGCCGAACCGAGGGATTTAGTAAATCGGGGATTTAATCTGTAAATCCTTAAATCCGGAATTTACCCATCGCCGGGATTTAACGCGCGCACAAAAACCGTTTGGCTGGATTTAGCTTAAATCCGACTTTAATCCCGCTGTAAATCCGATAACAAACAGCCCCTTAGTATAAATCCTGTGTCCAAACAGCCCCTTCGTCTCCAGTTCTCCTCCCATTCCAATTCAAGTCTGTTGCTCAATTTCGCCGCCATCGCAGCATCACTGCTGTCACTTCCTTCATCGCTGTTAACGCCTTAAATGTTAAAACTAGCTTCGTCGCCTTCTCTGGTCTGAACCATCTACTCCTTTGCAGTGTTTCCGTCGGCCTTTCTTAGGCCGCTGAAATGATTTTAAAAATTTGCCGTTAACAACTTCTCCTAACTTTTTAGGTAGAACTTTCTCCATGCAAGCCCTTTTCGTCTGTGATTAATTGAATTTGTTTACGTTTTTTGGGTTGTTTGTTTTTTTTTTGTTCATGCTTTCTAGATATTCTTGACATGTTACGTACCCAGCACAGAAAAAACACGGAAAAATATTGCTTTGATAAGTTGTGTCATGACTACAGCTCTAGTTAGACGGGGAGTAGTCATAGGCGTTATATGGTGCCTACAACTTTTGGTATTGTGGGGAGGAGGGAGACGAACCAAAGGCTTTTTGCTTATTATATTGTTTGTTGATGCTCTAAACTCCTAAGGGGCTGCTTGGTAGAGGTATTAAAGTAGGATTTATTGTAAATCATGCCAAATATTGTAAAGTGCCAAAATGAATCCTACAGATTTTAAAATCTCATTTGACCTTTGTTTTGGGTTAAATCATGCATTTATTAAATTTGGAAGTCTGGTGGATTTATGAAGTTTAGGTGAACAGAAGGGCATGAGAGGGTGGGGGAAGATGAGGGTTACCTTCACATTGAGCTCATGTTGCGTCTTCCTCACTTATTTTTTATCTGCGTCTTTGGGTCGGTGTGTAAGAAAGGGAGAAATATGAGAGATTAACTTGTCGTAGCTTCCTCTGCTTTTTAGGAGTTTGGATAGGAGATGATGTGAGAGTTATATACAATGGTTATGTGGGTGGGGTGGGGTGGGGTGGGGTGGGATGAAGTGTTACAGTTGATTAAATTTGCACTGTAATAATATTTAATAGATTTTTAATTACATTAAACTTAAATTTTTAATCAATAATATTTATGATCAAATTTAATTACATTAAAGTTATCACAGGTAAATAATTTAATAAACTATTAATATGATTAATAATAAAATAAATTAGATATAAATACACTTATTAAAAATTAAATTAGCTTTAGTAAACTATATTAATAAAAAAATATGAACTTAAAATGATATTATATAAGTTTTAATATTAAATTGTTTCAATATTGAACTAATTTGTAGTTAATTGGAATGTCAGTTACACTAATTATGATTGCAAGCAATGAGTAAAAGATATTGCTTAATTTGATTATTTACTTCATATTTTTGAGGAAATTGAAGAATATTGGTGTTTATGTATATATTTTTTTCATCTCAGGTGTTTAGGATTTATGGGTTTTTTTTTTGCGTAGGATGAGCGCTTAAACCCGGATCGTTTAGGATTCTCCATGTCCCCAACCAGTGCACTACGAGTTTGAGCACAGATGATGGTTATTGGGCAACTTGTTTATGACTGTTCATTTTTGTAATTGTGTAATATATTTTAATTTCATCATTAGCCATTTTTCGTCAATGAGGAGAGGCACAAGCCTCAAAATCTAAAATTTTGTAAAGTGTAAATGAATGTTAAAAGTGATTTTTTTTGTATAATTATCAAGTAATATATTAAAAGATGACACGTTGACATTCTATTGAACTATGTAATAACAATTTGGCATACAAATAAAAAAAAACAATTAAGGTATAAAGTGACAAGTGATAAATTGCATGAAATAGAACTAAAATGCGAACATTACAATAAAAAATATTAAAATATAAGAATTGCATAATATTATCATATAACATTGAATTAAAGTTCAAGTTCCTTCTTTCCCAATTCCCTTCTCATCTCCATTTAATTTCTGATGAATCAATAATAGTATAACAATAACTCAAAAGTCATCTATGTTGTCGTTACTTGGGGGGGGGGTGATGAGGACATCGAAGATCAACGGTTACGATCATGTTTATTTATTTTGATGTATTTTATTTGTTATATGTACTTTTTTCTTTCTACCCTCACTTGAGGGCTTTGTCTTATGTTTGCCCTAGGGGCAATTGTGTCTTTTTATTTTCCTTCATGTGTTTGGCTATTTAAGCCCTCCCCTTCCTCTTGGAAAGGGATGATGATTATTGTTAATGAAAATTTTGGTTTTAGATCTCTTAGTGAGTTCTAGAGTTCTCTCTGTGAGTTCTCAAGTGAGGAAAGATTAGGAGAGGCTACAAGCAATACCCAACAGCCCCTTGGTATTTGAATGAATCCCCTCTTCCCCTTTCCTTTGCCTAATTAAGAGCCAATTAATGCTCCTAATTATTTCCCACATTCACTCAAAAGCTCTTTGGAAATAATTCCAAAACCTGAGACTTTTCCCTTTGGCCGAAATCCCCCTCAAGGCCCCACTACCTTTAATTCCGTCCAAATTCTGTTTCTTTTATTTCTGGAAGTAAATCCTGGATTCCTCTCTTACCCGACCACCTCTCCCTCTCAATTCCCCTTGCTCCTAAGGCTAAAATTCTGAGATTTCTCTCAGATTTTGTCTCGGTCCTGCACCGGTGGAAGGCTGAATTTGCTGTCCAAAATTCCTGTAGGCAGATTTTTCTCTGCTGTCCTCAGATTTCAGTATACAGCTTGCTGTCCACTTATGCCAGCAAAGATATCCTGCTGTCCAGCACTTTTGAAGACCACCGACAGATATATGGACTACCCAACGGACTACACTTTGACACTATTTGTCTTTGGGTAAACTCTTCCCCGACTCTTTTATCTTTGAAGTGCTTCTCAATTGTGGATTAGTAAATTCATGACAATCATGTTAATGCATCTCCGCTAAATCCTAGTAATTAGAAGAGTTGTGTGAGGGATCTTTCATAGACTAATCTTATTATTAGTATTGGAATCTATTGTTGGAACTATCCATTTATGCAATGTTGGATTAAGCTGGCTATCTTTTGAACTTAACTTCTATGCATGTGAATTAACCTAAGCTAAGTACTACTTTAATATTTATCTTATCGTTCAATTCCGCATAAAATCTTGCTTATTTTTGCCTCTAAATCTAAACGTGCAAACATCTTTAAGCAAATCATTTTCGCATGGGATTGTATCACATCAGGGGGGGTCTTAGTTTGATTTGTCATAATGAATTGATTTATTCCTGGCCTCATGATGGACCAACTGATTTGATTGTGAGGGAATTAAGAAGTTTTTTAATCAAGATGAAGTTGTTTAGGAAGGTTCTTAATCAAAGAGAATTAATTAAGAGATGTTTTCTAATTGAAGATTTGGGAGTTGATTTAGGGGCTGATTTGGAGGGGATTAATTATGAAATATTTCCTAATTGAATAGTGAAAATTTAGGGGCTGATTTGGAGGGGATTAATTAAGAAATATTTTCTAATTGAAGATGATAGATTTAAGGCTGATTTGAGAGGGAAATAATCAAGGAAATAGGAGGGAATTGGGGGAGGGCTGTTCGGGTATTTACTGTTTATTGTTTGCTTTAAATAGGTGGTTTTCCTAGGGTTAGGGCGCCTTGAATTTTGCTGAATTTGAGATCTCTTAGGTTTATATTTTTGGGCTCTAGCAGTGTCTAGAGATTTGGGAGAGAGAGATCCTCCTCTCGAATAGAGGATCAATTGTATCTTGGTATTTTCTTTCCGTTCTATTTAATTTCTTGCAATAAAATTATTGTTTTTACTGTACTCATTGCCTGAAATACAGTTTAATTTTAGTTTTACGATTGTTTGTTCATGATAAAAAGATGCTAGACACCTGTATCTCGCCTTCCTTGTTTACTTCAGATTCCTTGTTTGCTTTGCAGCAATTGGTGAGCTTTGTAGTTGTACTTCTAATTGAGGTAATTTATGAGAGCAAAATATGTCGGAGACAGCATCTTTGAATATGCAGGACATTCCACAAGGTCAGCTCCCTGAGCATATTGAGCTTCAGAGGACTCGAGTGTTTTGCAAAGCTGATGCACCAGTACATGTAAGAGATTTTTATTTTTTTAATACTTATTTATGTTTTACATTTTCATGGTTTTCTTGCCCATTTATCATGTTATGTAGCATTCTGTTGTATAGAATAATTTCGATTTTCTTTCTAATTTAAAATCAGAAGCTATGTAGATATACAAAAGGAATGGAAGCTGGCCAGTGGCCACTGATGATTTAAAAAACCTCATTGTTAAATAGCTTTATGATGGGTGTATTGTTATTGTTAGGCGTATTTTTTTAGTTGTTAAAGTTCTGCTTTATCTCTGCTATATCTTTGTGGTTTCATTTGTTTAACATATAAAATACTTCAAAATTTTAGACAGAGGATGTTGAATATTCTGGTGCTTATGCGGCGGTAGGGTTTGACAATAGTTTGCAAGTAGATGATTTCCGTAGAGATTTCAGAGTTGAAATAAAGAATCTGTCAATGGATGATATAGAATTTGACATGATTGGGATTGACGCATCTTTGGCTAATGCATTCAGGAGGATATTGATAGCTGAGGTATGTTTTTAAATGACTTCCACTCTTTGTGTTATTCTTTTTATAAGGCTTTCCCTTATTGATTGACATGGTCTGATCCGATGTCTGTTCATGTATTTTGTTAGTTATCTGGCATAACATATTACTAGTCATCTGGATTATTGGTTTTCAAACCTATTTTCATGACCATATTTTTAAGTCCTTTATTGTTTTGCATAAGTTCAAGAAGATGGGTCTTTTTTATTAGCATGGATATCCTCTGAAATATCTATTTTTCCTCTGCCTCCTTAGGTTCCAACAATGGCTATTGAAAAGGTTCTCATTGTTAACAACACATCAGTGATGGCTGATGAGATACTATCCCATAGGCTGGGCCTTCTCCCAATCGAGGCTGACCCAAGGCTATTTGACTTTCTATCTGGTTTGTCTAATTGTTTTTTCATTTGATCCTTTGTTCGTCTTGGTTACTACTACCTGTCCGTATATAGTTGCTATTCTTTCATGCAGAAAACGATACTCCAAATGAGCGGAACACTATAGTATTTAAAATGGAAGTTCATTGTAAGAAGCGTGGCCCTCGTCTTACTGGTATAACATGATTTTCGTGTAGTACTATCTTTTTCCTTTCCTGCTTGAATTTTTATTTTTATTTTTATCTTCTGTAAGCAAACTATTAACCCGTGAGCAACTGCAATTCTACTAATTTGTAGTTTTTCATTTTGGTTTTGTATTTATATAGTGAAATCTGATCAGCTAAAGTGGCTGCCAAATGGTAGCGAGCTTTTAATGGAATCACCTAATCCATCCACAAAACCACGAAGTTTCACATCATTCTCTTGCAGTCAAGCTTCTCTACCACAAATTTCTGGCATGCCAATCGGTATGAAGCATCGTGATATTATCATTACTCAGCTCGGTCCAGGACAGGTAATTTATAAATATTGTCTATGCTGCGTAGGATTTATTTGGTTCCTTGTTTGCACTTCGTTACACTAAATATTTTTGGGTTGTGTCAACTAAATGCATATGAATCAAAGTATTGTTGTTAGACTCAACAAAAATTGTATAAAATAGTTTATTTTCTGAGCCAATGAATCGTACATGCTAATTCAACCAGCATTAAAGGTTTGCTTCATTTTTATGTCTATTTATTTGCTCTTGAAATATTTAGTGCTGCTCAATTAAGTTTTAACAAACAGGAAATTATAGATACTTTTGTATTTTTTTGCAAGCAATTATGCAAAGTTCCCACGTAATCTACTTCGGCTTGTTTTTAATTAATGTTTTAAGTTTTATTTTAGTATAATAAACCTACCTTTTGAAATGACTGATATTGATCTTCTGCCTTCGTTTTCTCTTTGTTTCATATAGAAATTTGCATAAATACTAAGTTGCTACCGGTTTGAAAATATCTTGGTTATGGACGGGTATGCTGTGTATACTGGAGTGATAGCTGCTCTTTACTGGTTTCTTCATTCTCTGTTTTTTGTTGTTGGTGTGTGTGTTTGCAAAGAAAACTTGCGTGCTGTTAAGTTGCTAGAAATATGATTTTCTTGAATGCTGCGGTTCTAATATTTAAAACTGTTCCAAGTTGCCATTGGGGAATTGGAAGATTCATGATGCTGAAGCGAGCGTGTATTTACAATTCAGCAACAGGCAAATCTTTAAATATGTGACCCTGTGGCTTCTTCAATAATTTTCCATATATCTAGTATGCTGATGTTTATAGCTTTACTTTTGATACACTTAAGACCAAAGATTATCCAAGAGCCAGTGAATAGCTAATTTCATCCCGTGACATATTTTTTGTTTCATCAGTTTACCTCTATCCCAAATCTTATATTAGGTGTTCATCTTGAAAAGTGCTGTTTATATTGAGAATACTTACATCTAATGTTAAATGCTTACATCAGCAATATCGTCTCTACTTTTTTTTTCCTAGTCTATTGAGCTTGAAGCCCATGCAGTGAAAGGCACCGGAAAAGTTCATGCTAAGTGGTCTCCTGTTGGTACAACATGGTATAGGATGCTGCCAGAGGTGTGATATATAAGATATGCAAAATTTTCATCCTTTTTAAGGACTCCGTTTTTTTTTTTCAAATGACATCCTTCACGTATTCTTTTTATGTATGCACTGTTATTGGACAGGTTAAACTTTTGAAAGAAGTGAGAGGCAATGATGCTGAAAAACTTGTCAAGAAATGTCCACGTAAAGTGTTTGATCTTGAAGATGTTGGACATGGTAAGATCTCTGCTGGGAAGTTCAATAATGATGAATGTCTATTCAGTGGTGAATTATATTTTTTGGTCATTACGTGCTCATTGCTTAACAACAATTTTTTTAATGTTCTTTTATTTTTAAGTATATGTATGCATATGTATATATATAAGGAACATACTTCTCTCCTTGGTTGAAAATTACTATTCTCCATCAATTAGATTTTGATGTTATAACTTTTAAAAGCAAGATCAAAATTATTGGAAAATGGTGGGACATTGATCTTTTTTTCTTGTTATTAGTACATTATATGCAAAATTATTTGTAGGCCACAAATGGAATAATACAGGGAGGCATAATCCCATAATAATTAAGTGAATCTTTCTTAAAAATAAAAGAACGTTAAAAATGTTGTCATAAATACATAGAAATATATATGGTGATACTTCCCCTCAACTTGTGGAGTCAAAAGTGATCAAATTAGCATACGTTCATGCATCATAGAGGATGATATTTTTTTCTTATGCGGATTGGTTGCTCTTGAGAAGCAATAGCTTGAAGGCAAATGGTGGAATGACCTATCTCATCACAAATGAATTGTATCAGTTTTAGTACTTTTGGTGCACTTATAGTGAATATTATTTTTAAATAGTAAAAGTCGCATTTTGTTTATCATAATGAATAATAGAGGGACCATCATGGACAATGCCCGTATCAATGAGGAATTTCGAAGCCAAAATAACTCACCTACTTTGTGTGCAAAAACATGATATTTAGCTTTGGCGTTGAAATGGGCAACAAATGTTCGTCTTTTTACTCCAAGTGTTAAATAAATGCCGAAGAAGAAACAAAGCTTGGTGCCAAAGTTTTGGTCTGTAGGATCACCAACCTAATGATCATCAGAGTAAACATTAAATATAGTTAGAGATATGGCATAACAATGAAGGATGCCTAATGCAATAAACAATGTGACGAACAACAACATAATAGGTAGAGCGAGGTACAACAAGAAATTGATTGACACATTGTACTGTATTTGCAATATCAAGACAAATTATTTTTAAATAAATTAACCCTTATAGTTTTTCATATTGAGTAGGATTTAACTAATGTGCCTCATTGACGGAGTTGAGATGATAGTGAGGTTACAAAGGAGTTTAGACAACTTTTAAGCTAGTGACGTTGGCTTGGTGTAGAAGATTAGATGCATATTTTGGTTGTGACATATAATAAACTCGTAGAAATTATGTTGATTTTGAGATAAGTAATTCAAGTGCCTTATATCTTTCATCTCAAAATAATGTCGGGGCCTTTAAGATTTAAATGCCCTTATATTTATTGCCACTGATAATCATATCATCCATGCAAAGGAGTAGAAAGATAGTGCCAGCAATAGTGATGCAAACGAAAGAAACTTTATATTTAGAATTTTGTTTGGGTTGTTGAACTTTGTAAAATATGCTCGAGGTGCTTGCTTGAGGCCAGGGAGAGTTTTTGTTGGAGTTTACAAAGTTCTCTGGAACCTTAAGGCTATATAATTTCTTAAGTTCACTATGATGAAAACATTACGGGCATTCATTTGTTAAATAGGCTAGTCTCAAAGGGAAACAAATTAGCTCCATACTTTGGCAATAAGGTTTTCTTTATATTGCTCAAAAGGCCTATAATAAGGTTTACTTTATAGAATCATTTATAATTGACAATTGACTTCTCTGTAGGCAAATCAGCTAAATCTCAAGTATGACTTCAATTTAATTTATAAAGTTCTTCCTGCATAACATGTTGTCAATGCGGATCAGAGCAATCTTCAATATGGATGAAAGGTTAATGAAAAGTGGAGATAGTGGAGTGCAATGATAGTTTTGTTGACAATAAGATGAAAGATCACCTATATGGAATGGATAAAATAACAAAGAATACAAACATATGTATCCGTTTATTCTAGATGTGTCATCACTTGATTTTTAGAGAGCGGAAGTTCTCTAGGTTTAGGGGGCGCTATTGCATTAATATGAATATGCATATCAAAAGATATTGCTTCTTCAAGGCCTCAAGGGGAAAATGGTCAAGTAGCTTGGTGAAATAAGGAGGCGAGGAGTTGGTAGATAGTTAAACCAGAGAATAGAGATAGTAAAACAAATATAATATTTTTTCAGAAAATGACATGGTGATAAATTTGAAGATGTTGTGATAGAGGATCTCAACAATGGCAGCTTGTGTTTTAGGCTATAATCCAAGATGCAATATATACCAGATTAATTTTGAAATTTATTTCACTAATGGGCTTCAAGGAGAACAAACAAGCATGACCATAAACCCCAAAAATATAGTCAAATCCTACCATAGTGATGCACAAAAGGAGAGTTATATGTAGCAATGGCAAAGATAATTCAATTGATGCTATATATTTTTGCGGCTGCAATTTCTTCCCAAAAACATTTAGAATAGGGGTCTAATAGAACAAGACATTTGATGTTAAAAATTTGGTGATACCTTTCATTCAACTTGGCTATTTTGTGTAGAGATGCTAAGAAAAGAATATTGAAATAAAGTGTAATGTTGCATTAAGAGATGGGAGTAGGGCAATGCCCTTGTATCCAAAACATTATTAGATTGAAGAGTTAACGAAATGTTTGTGTTATGAAGCAAAATTCGATTATATTATTTAGATTGCTTTTTAAATAAACAAAACCAAACACAATAAGAATAATCATCAATGAAGATGATGAAATGGGGAACTACCCATATTGTGGTAGGGGAAGTGCCCTAGGCATCGAAGTGAACAAAATCTAAAGGTATTATAACACGAGTTAATATTGTGAAAAGTTAACACTTGTTGTTTTGATGGTTTACAAAAAATAGAATGAGCCATATTATTTTAGACAAACTCTAAATGATTGCTATGTGAGGTGGGTTTGATAGAGACAACTAATATTAAAGTTACTTTGGATGATGACATTCAGTTTAGCATGCGGTGGTACCTCAAAACTAGTGAGTGCAAACATGCTACCATCTCTATGCCCTGTTCCAAGAACTTCTCGATAAGAGTGAGAAAATTCATGTCCTCTGAAAAATTTCTATTGAAAATAAATTAAGAGTAAATTTAGGTAGCAAGCAAGTGTGAGGAAGGAATGAAATGGAGACAGAGATATGAATACTGTGAGCGGCAGATAAAGTGAATCCATCTTTAATTTGTATCAAAATAGTAGATGATGTATGAGCCTTGGTGGAGAATAGTTATTGATCAACTGTGGGCATGTAGCATCAAAATACCAAATAGTACCTAAGGTGGTAAACATGTAAATGGAAGGATATATACTATGCTATATTGAGATTTGTTTTCGTTGAAGAAAAAGCTGTAGAAAGAGTAACCAAAGTTGCAACAATAGAGGTTTCGATGCCAAGCTAGGTATGGGGCTTAGAAAATTTTGAAGTGGGTCTTGTGCTAGAAGATTGTACAGAAGGGAACTTATTATGATATATGGAGTTACCTTTGAAGTAGCAGTGCTGGTAGGACAATTCCGAAGAATGTGAAAAAGGTCATGTAGTATCTTGCACTTGAGGATTGTAGTGCGAGCATATATAGGAGCCATCATATGTTGAATAGAAACAACAATAATGGAGTTTATGATTTCTTATTGGAACAAAAAAAGGTATTAGAAGGCGTCACTAGAGTGCTTGTGGCATGAGAGAAAATTATAGTGAGGGTTAGTCTAGGATAGAGTGGCCCTAGGTGGAAATGAGTGAGTTAGAGTGTGTAGAAATGGATGCACCAATCTAGACACGAACGACTTGGGATATATCATTGTAGTGGTTGGTTGTGGCAGAAGATGGATTTATGATCACTGGTAGATCTTTAAACACAAGTGAGATCGATGATAATGAGGCAGCTACGTGTCATTAGAGCGGAGAGATTCTTCTTCAAGGAAAAAAAACCAAATGATAATGAAGAATTAAATCTAATTTAACACCTTGTAATTGGATATCATATTTATGGTTTTTTGAGAAATCATGGATGTTGAACAAATTGTAGACAATGTTTTAAAAGCGAAAATGTAAAGCTAATTGTTTGAATCCTATTTAAGATGAAGCGGAATTAAACAAAAAATATATTGTGATATGAAATTAAATATTAAAATATATTGTGATATGAAATTAAACAAATAATAGAACTATGAATTTTATACTTGACAAAATAGAAAATTTAATCCTTTTCAATTGGTCTCAGAAATTTAACACATCAAAGCATGTTCATATTAGCACAAACTTATTTATTTAATATCTATTTATCTTGAAATCATATTATTGTAATAAACAAGTATCATGGAAAAAGATTTAAATGAACTTGAATTACAAATAAAAAATACATGATGCCAAACTTAATTAAAATCATCAAATTATGGGTGTGTTTCACTATTGAAATAGAGGAAATTAATACTACAACAACAACATCAAGCCTTTATCCCACTACGTGCGGTCGACTATATGAATCCTTTTTCTCCATTGTGACCTGTTGAGAGTCAAATTCTCATTTCAACAGACTAAAGAAATGATATTTTTAATATTTTTTAACCAAGCCTTTTTAGCTCTACCTCTACTTTTATTTACATATGCTAAATCTAATACATCTACTCTCCTAACAGGGTCATCGGAAGACCGCTGTTTTACATGACCAAACCATCTTAGGCGACTCTCTTGAATCTTATCAGTCATTGGAGCCACTCCAACCTTTTCACGGATATGCTTGTTTCGTATCCTGTCTCTAAGAGTAAATCCGCTCATCCACTTGAACATCCTCATCTCAGCAACACTTAATTTAATATTATGCTTCTCTTTTAATGGCCAACATTCTGCACCATAAAGCATTGTAGGTTTCACCACCATCGTATAAAATTTTCCTTGAGTTTGAGTGATGCTTTTCTATCACATAACAAACCCGAAAGAATTCCTCTTTCAACCATCCAACTTGAATTCTACTAATAATATATCTATCTATTTCACCAACACTTTGAACAACAGACCCA